CTTCTCACGTGGATCCTTGCCAGCGCCTTGAGCTTTGCGCGTCCCGTCGAGCACGTTGCGCACGTGCAGCCCATTTGCAGGTTGGTGGACATGGATTTGCAGCTGTCGTGTCGCTCGGGCGTCGTCAGCATTGGGTCGCCCACGCGCATGCTCGCGCTGATTGCGATTGCGCTCAGCGTCTCGACAAGTGCCTATGTTGTGACGCGCCTCCGTGTCCCGCGGCCGATCTGCAACGAACGCGACTCGCATTTGATGTCGTGTGGCGCCAAGTACCTTTTTCACAATACGAATTGGGTCTCGGAGTCGGGCGTTCTGCATCTGGATTACGCGTCGGCTGCGCTCACGGGCCTGCTCATTTGGCCACTTGGCAGCCACAAACTGTTGGTGTTTGACGTCAAGACGTGGCGAACGCTGGTCGTGCCACGATCGGTGACGCTACCGCGTCACCTGGCGCGCGCCGTGCCGGTGGTCGAGTAGCGCCATGAACACGTTGCATGCATTTTGGGGCGACCGTGGTATCCCTTTGGCGAGACGCGAGCACCCCCAAAGCCGACAAGTTGATCACGAACCGAATCCAGGAAAAGGCTGCGTTTGGCAAAATGTGGTTGACGTAACTGTGCATCGTATACATCATGTGCAACCATTGCAATCATTTCTCGCACAAAATGCTCCCTGTGTCGATCGTGTTATAACGTCTCTCGAAGTCAGTGCGAGCACTCGCTCTCACGCTTCACTACGCTGTGCCGTCAGTGGGCAGCGCGCCCATCGAGCGTCGGACCATCGCTGCTCGCTTTTGCTTGCTCACGCTTGCAATGTCTCTGGCTTGGACGTCGTCCAAAAAGAGTCGGCCGAAAAATGAGAGCACGAGGTCGAGTACCGCGTCCGGCAGCGTCGCCAAGCGCGTGCCGTGGACCGTATCGTCGAGGAATTGAGCTTTTTGCTGCGGAAACACTTCGGCTGTCGACAACAGCGCGTCAACGTCGGGCGAGACACAGTGCCACGTCAGCACTTTGCAGTGGCCAGGCCCACTCGCGTCTACTGGCGTCAGCACGAACCGATACGCGGCAGCGCACTGGAGAATCAGCACACGCGACGCATGCGCCGTCACATGGCCCGTCACTTGGGTTTGGACAACGTCACGGTTCGGACAATGCACCTAGTACCGATGCAGTCCATGAGAGACATGACACAGTGTCGTTGAGTCTACCTCGATAGCAGGATCATTCAGACTCGGACACGTTCGCGCGTACGCAAAGGTCTCTGCCAACTCGACACGCACGACGACATTCCGCACGTCGTAGAAGACGAGCGCTGTGCGGCTGACACCTTCGTTGACCGCCCCGGTGGTCCGCTGCCACGGTGTAACAGTAGGCGCCGTCGTCGCGCGATAGCCTTGGACGCCGCAGTAGACTTGACGGCGCGACGGCGGGCCAAACACCGACCGCGTTGAAATCGGCTGGAACTTGAAGCCTTTGGCGCGCGGCAGCTCGGGTACCACCGCTGCTTTCACCGTGGCGTGGCTAGCAGCCTTTTTCGAGAGCCGGATCCGGGGCCGCGAGTCTTCGACGTGAAAGGTCTCTGCGTGGTTCACGAGCGGCAGCACCAACGAGAGCGAGTCCGAGAGCGTCTCGTACAGCGCTTTCATCGATACGGGAATGTTGTTGAGATAGCTGTCAAGCGTCGCACGCCCCGTCAGCGCGTCCCACGTCACTGGCGTCGGCAAAAACTGTTCCAAATCACACGTCACCGAGCTCCACTCGCTCTGGTCGACGCGCGACGATGGCGCCTTTGCAGTGGGCACACCGAGCCGCCCACCGTGCTGCGTCACATAGTACAGCGTACGGTCATAGACCACGCCGTACAGTGCTGGGTCGACAACGTCGAGGCGAGGACCGTCCCATTGCGCAGTTGCTTCGAGCGGCGCTAGTTGGTGCATCAGCGTCGCGTGCACCGCGGCTATCTTGGGGTCGTCGAGGAAGAAGACACCGCGCGTCGTCGTCGCCGTCATCCCAAAGAGCTCTTGCGATTTGCGAAAGTTGACTTCGGCTCGAAGCAAGGCGAGACCGTCGCGCGTCAACCCGGTTGTTGGACGCGGCGACGTTGGGTCGTCCAGCGCCGACGAGAGAGCCATCATGTACTGCAGCTCAAGCCGTGAATACGCCGTGAAGCCTTCGTACGACGCGTGCCAAAGCGACCAGACGTAGGTTTTCGGAAGCGCCGGGTGAAAGTAGAGGTCCTCGATCGAAAGCTTGGGTGGCGCGGGAAAACCGGCGCGGAGCAACGTGACTGCGATCGCTCGTTGCAGGTTCGGAAGCGCAACGTCAAGTGCTGACTTGCCGTTCTAGTTCCAAGGGCGTTTGAGGCTGAGATTGAGATTCAGCAACGTACGTGGCGCTCGGAGATTGCATCCAAGGTGACGGGCACAAGGAGGCGGACGCTCTCTGCGTACTCGCCCAGGCATGCGAGATACAGCGGCGAGACGCCGTTCTGAACATGATTCGGTGTCGTCAGTTGATAAGCATGCACTGCATACCTCGTTGTGCTGGTTCGGGTCGGCGCCAAGGCGAAGCAGGAGTGCGACGCGCTCTGCGTCACGGACGGCATATGCCAAGAAGGGCTACAACGACGATCCATGTCGCGTCATCTCATACAAAGAGAAGCGACCTTGGATGTCATGTTGGCCTTGGACGCAATCCGTTCTAGAGACTCGAGTTGGACGCAGTCGTCGCCGATGGCCAGCGCGAGGGCGTCATTGTAAAACTAGGCCAAATAATCTCAACTAAAGTCGTTGACAAATTTGTACTACCTCTTGAGGCATGTCGCTGCCATAGGTCAAAAGCACCTCGATCGTCAAAGGTTCTGGGAACGTTGCAATCGCTGCACGCAAGGCGCACACGTTGCCGGAAAAGCCTGCCTACAGTTGTCAATACATCAAGTCAAATTCGACGAGAGTTTGCACAACCTCGTCGACGTAGTTGACGTTGGCGTAGGGCGCGAGGAAGCGCGCGCCTGTTTGATCACCTTTTTGGAGTAAGCATGTGAGCAGCGGCACGTTCGCCGACTAGACATCCCGAGTAGGGTTAGGGTCCGCGACAGAATGGAAGGACTACGTAGGCGTAACAAACAGCATTGGGGTTGCCACCGAGCTCGATGTACAACTGCAAGAGGGGCAGGTCCAGCACCAAGAGCTCTGCATCCTACAGTCGCACGTTTTTCGTGTGAAAAAGGCGAGTGTCCTATAGAGAAATGACGATACAATGTCTTCGGCGCGCAGACCAAAAGGCACGAGCAAGCGAATGCGGTCGATATTGGGCGCAAACCAAAAGACGGCGTGTTTGGCATTCTAAAAACACGCACTTTTCGCACAAATCACAAGCCGATGACCCACCGAAGCTGTCAACGCGCCGGCATGAAGGAGCACTGTGGCCATGGCGGCAATGTCGATGTCGTCGTCGAGCGCGTTGAGTGCCGTGAGCGGCGTCGACTTGTCCTAGAGGATTCGAGTCGCATCGTTTCAGATCATTTTCAAAAGTACCTCCATCGTGTACAGAACGTCAGCGCCTGCCGCGACAAGGCGGACAATTACGTCATGCAAGCCGTGGTAGCAAGCTGCGTACAATGGGCACGGTGACTCCTGCCTCTTAAACGTCAGAGGCAAACAGAAGAGGCGCCTTGACGTACGTGCGTAGAGCCGTTGGGACTGGCGCCGAGCTCAAGCAGCGTCAGTGCGGCCGCTTGGTTCTTCTGCATGATGGCAGTGTACAGCGGCGTCCAAGCGTTCTAGCCGAGAATGAGACGCCAAGAAATGTGGATAATTTGCTACATCGTCCAAGAGGTCAACGGAAGGCAAGCGCGCAGCAAGCAGCCGCAAACCAGAAAGGCTGCCGTGAGCTACTGCAAGGTGCAGCGCTGTGGCGCCCGACTACAGTTGCGGATAAAGCGACGACCTCATGGACGGGTGAGTGTACGTCATCGAGTGCGCCGCTCACGTCCAGCGTGTCTGGGACTTTGGCGCCTGCATCGTTCAACCACGTTTGCACTGCATGCTAGACGCATGTACACTCTCAAGGGATGTAGCGTCCAAGGCGGTCAGCCTACCTTGCGCTCTTGCTGCGCCTCCTCGTCGTTGGTGCTGTCCATTGCAAAATACAAAGTGGGAAAGGCGCCAACGTCGTTTGATTGGCAGTTACTGGCATCCCGACTTTTGATTGGTGGATTGTGTGTGCAGCACGTAGTCGCGCCACGTGCGGTCCGCGTATCACGCTGCGTCATCCAGTGTTGCAAACTATAGTCATTCGACTACGCCATCCTACTAGCTATGTCTACAGGATCCATCGTGATCATGCGTGTGCCCTGTCTAACGAAGCCACGCTAGGACCGTAGTGTGTGCCAGTACAGGCACTGAGAGCGCCGACGTGCTGGTCAACGAGGTGCGATTGATTGATGGATCGACAAGTGGTCCAGTGTGCGTCGAGGATTCCTGATTCTAACCCAAAACGCATTAACAAATCCACTCGGACGGTCCTTCTAGCATACCAAAGGACTCCAATTCTGCCCATTCCAATTCGCTCGATGATCCATAGACAACTAAATACGACTGTACATCGATACGAGGTGTCTGACTAGTCCTATCTTCCAACTGCAGTTTCATCATTCGGAGGCGGCCATTGTCATCTGCGTCGTCGTCGATCGATTTGCCCGCAACGTGCGAAGACGCTGTGGCGACGTCTACAGGATATCATCAGCATTGACATTGTCCAACGCGACGAGGGTACCATGTCGGGAGGCGTCATGTCTGGGACGCGCGAGACTGGTGACGTCTTCTACGCCTCGTCCTCAGCCGTCATGACCATGCCATCGCATGACGTACCTCCACAGACGACGTGGTGACCACGCTCGGTGCACTGCTTCGCTTGGGGATAAAGACAACGCCGTCATCGTCGTCATCGTCATCGTCCTGGACGTCTGTGTCGTCACTGGCGCGCGCATCCGGCTCGATATACTTGCGCCAAATGAAGTACACGGCGAGTGACGACAGCAGCACGATACTCAGCATGTAGTAGTCGTTGGCATCCCACGATGTCGACGGCAGCGGCTCTGTCGGCGTTAGCGGCGCCCGTGCCGTGGACTCTTGCTCGGCGAGGAGCGTCGCATTGAGTGCATGCACTTGGTTGGACCAGTGCGCCATGTCATCAGTCAAAGCGTCGCTGTGGCGTGTGCGGTCCGTGTACGTCTTGACCGCCGACTGCAGCGTCGCTCGACTCGTGTCGACCTCGTGGGAGATCGCCGTGACGATCTCTGGTAGCGACGGGGTCTCGGGCAGCGAGGCTACGTCGCGCGCATGCGCCTCGACCGACGCAGTAATCGTCGCTCGGAAGGCTTCGACGGCGGCGCCGAGAGCGGCGTGGATCTCGGTGGCCGTCGCTTCGTTGACGGCAACGATCTCAGCGCGCACCGACGCCTGCTGCTCGACGAGCGCGGTCGACATCGATGTCCACTCGCTTGTCCATGCATTCAACTGAGCTCGTGTCGAGGTTGCGACGGACGAGGCTTTGGCGTTGAGCTCGATAGCGTACTGCGCAACGTCGAACGCATCGTGGAATAGCTGCTCGACACGCAGACGCAGCATCGTACCGCACTGTTCTTGGTACTGGAGCGAGATGACACCAAGGCTGAGACACAGAAGGGAGAGTAAAATACGCAAAAGGACCTCGCGCAGCGACATGGAGGATGGCGGCGGTGGTACGTCCTTGATCAACGTTGTCGTCTTGGTGCTGGACGCCTCGGTCGCCGGCAAGGACGATGTCGCCGGCTTGTCCAGAGTATGCACGACGGGCAGCAAGACAGGCGGCAAGGCAGGCTCTGGCAACGGAGCTGCGGTCTCCGTGTCGACGCTGCCCGAAACACTGCTCGTCTCGTCGTAACGTGCAGTCGGGCTGTCGTCGCACGTAACCGAGCGTTGGTTGTTGTTGGTGTTGCTATCGTCGCTGCTGTCGTCTTCGGGCGAGTCAAAGTTGAGCTTGATCGCGACCTTCTTGCGGCTTGGTGGCGTCGGCGGCAAGTCGTCGAATGCGTCCGATGTCGACGGCTTGGACGTGCTCCGGTGGAGCTGCGCTCGGCCTTTCGCCGACTTGCGCGGCGCAGCAAATAAGTTGTGGCGCGCCTTGGGCGTCCGCTTGCCCTTGGATCGTGTGTGCACGGGCGGGCTCTCGAACGTAGCGGTGATTGTCGATGGCGCCTCCGAGTCGGCGGCAGTGTTGCTGTTGTTGTCCTCGGCGGGCGGCGGCGCATGGGCGGCCAGGAACGCCTTGTAGGTCGCCGAGAGCCGGTCGTCGTGCTTGCGGCGAATGACCGCCGGGTCGTCGGGCTTGAACGAGCTCTTGATCTTGAGCGGGACGTCCGAGATCAGCGGCTTGGCGCCGAGGCCATCCTTGCGGGCGCGCCACGCGAGAAACTGCTCGATGCGCGACGCCGCCGCAGCGCTGCTCGCTGACGCGTCCGGGCGCGGCGCCTCCGTGGCTTCGGGCGTTGAAGGCGGCGTCGCGCTGGCATCCGGCGGCTGGTCGGGCGTCCGGCCCTCGGTCGCGCCCTTGTAGCGAAGCGTCTCTTCCCACGGCTTGCCGCTCATCGGTGCTTGTCTACTCCCCCGACTTTTAGCCAATCGCCTGCCATCTGGTTTCTTT